TAATACGTCACGCAACATTGTCTTCTGGCAAATGAGTAAACAGATAGTGAAAAGTGAAAGTTGGTGACTAAGAGCAGCATGTGGAAATTGAAAACTATATGTTATATCACTTCGTTACGCATGAGAGACCACAAAGTAGATTTGCTCGACAGCCTAAAGCAAAAACCCTAGCTCTTAACGAAATTATACGCAAAAAGGATCATTTAGACAGCGATAATTCCCGCCTTTATAACTCGAAAGCGGTCATATTTCGGCATACTCACAAATATTGTTTGTCTCAAGCATAATAGTTTTCAACTTCACATGCATATGAATTTCATGTATAGCTTCAAATAAAAGTGCCAACTTGTGGACAAGTATAACACATAGAACTTCTTTGCCAAAAAAATTATCAAATGTACAAGAAATAATAGAAGCTAATAGACACCAAGACATAAATGCTGTAACCGTATGCATAAAAAAACGACAAATTTATCTGTTCCTACCTGTCTTATGCCTGGGGACGTAAGTTCTTGGGCTGCGTCCATGCGTGCCAGCGCTGTTCCAACGTCGTGCTGTTGCTGTGCCGCAAAGACGCCAACAAATTTCTTTGGCCGTAATATTGATCCCTTTTCTGCCGAAACGTCATCTTTCCAGATGGGTAGAATTATTGTCTTCAAAAAAAAAACTAAGTTAATTTAACCTTTGTCAGAAAAATTTGCTGAAATAAAAATCTTCGGGTCTGAGCCATCAATACAAGCATAGAGTTTCAAATAAAAAGTCTGTCCGATACTAGTGATAATCTCTCCAACCTTAAAGCCTCTATAAGAAGGATGCTAGAACATTTCTTTGTATAGATGAGACACTCCTTCTTTTTGGGTTAGTATCTTTCATAATGTTGAGTGACGCTCTTACTCTGCACCCTCTAAAGTGTTGTTGGATAGAGCCTTTCGCTTTCTTCTTCCCAACTCAGTTATCATGAATGACATATGCAAAAAATGCTTTTCCATACGAGATCCATATCGACATGCAATCACTCTGATCACGCGCATGGATTAGGCCGAGTGCCATCGAAAGCGCACAGATCCCGGCTCGGCAGCCTCATTAATGGGCGTAAACGTCGAGATCGTCGTAGTGAACCGGACCAGATAGTAGAGAGTAGCAGCCGCTGAGTGCTTTACAGGCAACGTTTTTTGTGTCATCGCTGCGAACGATCGCAGCAGCGATTTTCCGTCAACCGCGATCGCATCTTTCGTGCTCGTCCCAACGCCACCACCACTGCAGCTACAGCAGATCTTCTCCAACAACATAAGTCGCCTAATTTGCATTCCTTGGCTGTTTACTGTATGACATCAACTGAACTGCTCAGCTGAACTCGTCTGAGCCTGTGAAATCGCGCCCGATGGCGACTTGGAGACGCCTCGAGCGATTCGACACCCAAGGAGAGCAGTCTGTGATTCCATGTCGAAAATCCGTCAAATTCCGCTACTTCGATTTCGAAGAAGCGAGAGGAGCTGTTGATACAAAGGAAAAGGAAGTAGTGGGCACCTTACCTTGCGAAACTTCCCCACTCCCATCTGGCTTCTGGGGTAACTTGGCAGAGGTTCCATCAGCACGTGGTACTGTCAAAGATCTCCCTATTATTCCGAAACCTCAACGCCCTCGTATGGGAACCACCGACTATAAACGCCGTAATTCAGCTAGCGTTTTTACAAGGAATAGCTTCAGAAGTGGCAAGGTAACACAGCAGTATGATACGATTTATATAATTTTTTTTCAAAAATGGAGTTTCATATGTGAAAATATTTTACTTTTCTTCAAATGTTCACATATGAGTTGAATTTAAAGAATTCCGCGACCATTTTTTTTTATTCCTTCAAATGAGTCTCGAAAAAATGGAAAGGAAGGATATAATGACCGTCTAGTCTTTTGTAACCCAATATGCGTATTGTACACCATGCGCCCTACTTGACGACATGTGAGATTGGAAATTGCTAGTCCCAGTGATTTTTTCTTGTTTTTCTGTCTATTTTGATTTGATTGGGCATGTATGATTTCGTGGTGCACATTTGTGTGGTTGTTGTTCTAGAAGAGATTTTACTGAAGTCGCCAGTAATGGTGTCGTCAGTTACCGCGCTCAATGTGCAGACTCACATATTAAGTTACGAATGACTTGAGTATGCGATTGTGCAGTTCCACAGTATCTGTCTCGCGATAGAAAATCCGCAAGAAGCAATATTCTTTCCTGCAGAATGTTTTCTTCGTAATGCTTTTTTGAATTCCTAATTTTCATGTACTCCCTGATTTTCAACAAACCCGATACCAGCATGCCATTGTTACCACCTCATTGTTTTTCCGTCCTCATCTACTACTCCTTGCAAGCTTTGTTCAGCTGGACTCGTGCAGCTGTATGTGATCATTATAGTTTTTTGCTTCATGAGAAATTCGCTTCATGTTTTCGCTTTTGTTTCTCGCATACAAGCAATGTTTTCCGTTGTACGGAAGCCCCGCGGTTTTCAATTTTCGCGCTGATTCACTTCCTCGAAGCTGTTATCGGCGAACAAGTGAGGCGAATGTTGCCGCTTGAAATTTTTTCGAGAAAGAAATGTTGTTCCGGAAATGTCAGGAACGAGCGTTCGATTATTAGCGAGCTTCATTACGGCAAGGAAATGCGGCTACAAATGATTGCACTCATACGGCGAAGCCTTGGGGAGAGGAGGGGGAGGGTGGGCGAATGGGCGTGGCTAGCCAAATTTTTCTTAAGATTTTACCGATTTTACGAGTGATAAGTGGAAAGGTTTTTGCGACACTGTTTTTATTTGTACCTTTTTGGAAGTCTGAGTATACTCTCATCCAAGAAGCGAAGGAATTAGAAGAGAATCTATGTACCCCTCTAGAATTTCAAAAAAAAAGTTGGCGAAATGACAAAAGTTTCAGATTGCCACAGTGTTATGAGTTTGTTTGAAGTTAGTTCCAGGACACTCTTTTCTCCACTTTTCTCTCAAAGAATGAAAGAACAGTACTGTATTATTCAAAAATGGCTCCATTGATCAGTAATCTGCAAAAAACCTCTACTGACCGAAGTTTAAAAAGCACAATGTAAAGAAAATCATAGAAAATATATTGTCGTTGTGAGACCACTTAGTGGCTCTGAAGTGGCTCATTCATGGTTAAATATGATCTTGCACCTAACTCTACCAAACTTGCTTTTGGAAGTAGTTCAGAACTGTTGTACTAGTTTTCCTAACACATTGAAACCCATATCATGGTGAATATAAATGTATAGTTGAAGTGGTACTTCTTGCTAATGTCATCTGGTTTGGGCGTTAGAATTAATCAGCAAGTGTTTGAATAAGCGTTCGGAGAAAGGTTGAGAAAAGATTCTAGAGATGATTATGACTAGCATGGTGAGCAAGCCATCGACAATGAGAGAGACGGCATTTTCTTTCACGTAGGAAAAGAACGGAAGGGGCGGGGGGGGGGGGGGGTCGAAGCAAAAAAGAAACATGAGCGGTACAAATGAATACATTTGTATACGGTCCAGTAGGTGTTTTCGCTGAGCGTGCAACTGCACAATCTTCTAGATGTTGACAATGAAGTGTCTGTAACAACGAAGCTGCTTCTAGAGAATCTCTCGTGCCAGCGACGTGCCAAAGCCAACGTGGACCGACACCGCTTGATCGATCGGCGCCGCTGGCACGGCGCTAGCTCAGGCAACTCTGGACGCAGTTTCACGTGAAAGGAGCATAAAATTTGATTATTCACAGCTCCTTTAATTCGTTTACGTTTACAAGAGCAGAAACATAGGAAAGGAGAAAACCATTTTGGAAATTGTGTAAATGCATACTTCAACAAAAAAGCTACTCCATTAGCTCATGCTATAGACTCCCCTCCCCTCCCCTCCCCTCCTCCTACCGCAGCTGGTACTCCTCCATCTCTATAGAAATATGCAGATTCAATTGAAATTCCAACTTTTCTAGTCGACGCATGATGAGTCATGCGGCAATTTCACACCAACATGCCCCTAGTCGGGCGCATCGACGGCGGTGCACATCCACCGCCGCCCCGTCAGACGCGCCGACGTCGTCGCCTGCTCTGCTGCCTGTCGACAACAGCCCTTCGACCCTGCTCGTTACTGCTACGATTGACCCTTCCCCCTCGAGCACTGCAGTAATTTTTTGAGTTGTAAAATTAGCGCTGAGCTAATGGCTCAGCGTCAGCATCGCTACCACATCGTCAGATTTACTGACGAGCATGGGGTAAGCAGCAAGGTACATACTTACTGTCTTTCCTGTCAACTTTTTTTGATAATTCATGGAATGCTTGGGAAATATCGTATTCACAGTTTTCCAACTTTTCACTGAGTAGAATATTGAGTGTTTGTCAATTTCTAGGATAAGATTATTTGTTTCTGTGCAGCTCTTCTTCTTCTCTTTCAACCTCTCTTTCTTCCATTCCTGCTCTCAGCCCTTGCTCTTCAAAACTGGTTGAAACTGATCTCGAAATTTCAAGAACTTGTGCATTTCTGGTCATCTCTGCTCCTCACCATAGAAAGGACGGTTTTTGATTTGTTAGACCCTCTTTTTGTTCAGCTTTCCCAACACGAATTTGAGTTTTTTACTGCTTATCGGTTACCGATGACAGCAAGCTTTATGATGCTAAGGTGCAAGTGACCAGCTTGATAGGACCATTTTCCTATCTGGTCAGTTCCGAAATAAATTACCAGCTCAATTATGTATGCAAAAATTTGATTTACATGTTTAGAAACTGAAAAATAGTTATTGACTTGAAGGCTTCTTGGATACAATCTACTTTTGAGCTATTGTCCCTGGACAATTTTTGATACAACTTCCTCTCCTGGAGTGAATTTTTCTTGTATGAAAAAATTTAGTTTGAAATAGAAGCTTGTTAGTTACATGCATTCTTCTTTTGGAGGGCAAAGTCTTTGGCTTAGAAGATATGCTAGCTTTGAAATCATCTGGTGATTACTACTGCGCAAATGTCTCAGATATTCAATTTAGGAAACAAAAGAAGAGATCTTAACGATCACTTCACCATCACATCAGGAGGATCAGAACGATTCGGGCATAGAAAATCGCACGACAGATTCGCATTCTCCTTCCACATCGCTAGACTTCTCGCCGAGGAGTATGTTTCTTCTAAAAAGTCTGCAAATTGGCTTTACTATGCTATTCAGGTGACTCAAAACTTACCGCCGAACTGATCTCACCGAAGAGCTCATCTCATCCTTATCAATTGTCGGAAACTTCAGCAAGTCGAACAGAAGTTGTCGAACAGCCACCTGACTACGCACCACCACCACCACCGCCGTTAGCATCAGACGAGAAGGATCAATCGCTCGATCAGGTATGGAACTTATTCAAGGTTCCTGAAATCTGATTTTGCTCATATTTCTCTGAGTAGAGGTTGAGGTTCATATTAGTAGTCAAAGTATGGAATGGGTGTAGAAGTGGTAAGACTGATATCCAAACTTCCATGAACCTTTATTTTAAATACGTTCATTTTTGGTTCACATTGCCAACTTTCCGCGTGCCATGTCCATTAGACAGTTGTGTGTGAAGCCCTGCACCGTTAGTGTTATAGTGGTGTAATCCGTCCAAGACTTCGTAAGAAATTGGTTACGCTACCAAGCGCCACAAATACCGTAATTAGAGTGATAACATTTTTGAATGATTGTGTATGTGGTTTATCTTTTGCAATCTGCAATCTTCTTCGCATTAACGTGCCAAATTTTGGCTGTGCTTTATTCTACACTCAGTTTGAGCGATAATATCTTGGCTTCCTGTCCCGATATCGTTACTTATGTAAGGAAACAACGCTTCCAAGCTTTTACTTAAAATAAGGGCTTGGGCCAATTTTTGAAAGATGCAGCAAATAAAGTCGTCTGCTCATGAAATTTTCCAAAATTGCTTGCTAGAAAATAAATGTGCTACAGGCTAAGCTAAATTTTTGCATACAGTTTCTCTTGTTCATTCTCTTCTAGTCTAGAGCACCAGGAACTTATAAGTACGCATTTTTGCTTGGAGGGAGAGGAGAAGATTGTCCATTTCTGCAGAAACCGTGATTCTTCTCATTTTTAATACCGCACTGCATTTATAGTCTGTTCCTAGCTTATTCATTGACGACAACATGGATCACCAGCGGCGCTCGGCACTTTTTGAAAAATTTTGTCTGAATATTCATATTTTCTCGAGGCCTACGCAGATGAGCTGATTTTTCGTTGAGCTACTCTACTTAAGCTTTGAATTCCTTGCCAACGTCAGTATCACTCGAACTAATAGCTTGAATTGACGCAAATCATGTCGTTGGAGTTTTCAAGGATGAAGTAAGCACGCAGGAAATTGCAAGAGAAATGCTGAAATGCTCAATTTTTAACACAGCTAAATTTCTAACAGCAAAATGCGGTAAGAAATATTTGAGAACTGCTCCAAAAACGCTCATTCGTTTCCATACCACGAAAACAGTATAAAAGACGAGCTATGTTTTCCTCATGGAAAATTTCGAACCTTTGTTGATTCAGGTGCTAATTCCACTGAACGTTTCGCGTTCAGTAGCCGTAACCGAACAGCAAAAGTCGGACGAAGACGATTATCCACCTCCACCACCACGTCTACGTAGACCTGTATCCTCGGATAAAACCGTCGAGGTCAGTTTTTCCGAAGGAATTTTTTCAAGGGGGGGGGGACAGACCATTAGTACAAGATTCGCCCCATTAATCATTGTTTTCTGTGCTAATAGTGGGTGAAAGCAGAGTGTATTGGCAGCACAAGTTATCTTGTTTTTGATTTGTTCTTCTAAACTGAATATACAACCAAATCTCCTTTCAGGATCTGAAAAGTCGTTACGAAAGCACTTCGTTGAATATTCGCGCTCCGCCCACATTCCACTACGAGGAGCGGGTACGTGTATTGCAGTTTTACGTGCAGATTTTATGACATTTTGGCAGTTTCACTCCTTAATAGAGTTTTTGACGCAATGCAAAGCATTTCCATTGAAGATTGCATTCATTCAAAGGGAGAGAGGAGGGGGGGGGGGTAGAGAAACAACTTCAAACCAAAGCCTTCAGAAGAAATAATTTAAGTTTCGAATTTATCCTGCATTTTGCCAAAAAACACAACCATCCCAAGAACTTCTGGTCTTTTCACGATTATTGCGAAAATCCGCCGATTGCCCATGGCTACCAGGCTAACCGTCTAGTTTCTTACAGTAAGCTTACAAAAGTGCGGATCTTTCCGAAATCTGCAAACTCGTCCATGCAGACGTATTTTTTTTCGATGTCTAGCCGTCCTTCAGCATTTCTTCCATCGCCCGTAGCAGATCATCGCTGATCGTGCGGCGATTGTCCGAGTTCTAATCCTTTTTCCATGAATGAACATGTTGATCGGATCACGAACAAATCATCCATTGTGTATGGTGCTCAGTGCTTATTTCTCAATGTAGATCGCATTGATGGGGGTTTTTGATGTGCAGAATGCTGAAAAGAACGAACTTAAGTGCAACGATGTTGTCGGAAGATAGATTTTTGCAAGTTTTTTTCGTGCTGAGGCTGGACTGCTGAGAATTCCATACGCATAGGGGGGGGGGTTGATTGCAGAAACTGTTCAAGAAGGTTCATTTAATCTGATACTCAAGTGGCAGCTCATATGATGCATTCGTGGCCGAGCAATTCATCTCCGAATTCTTTCGCCCACACCGTAATCCACCGTACTTTTGCGAGCGGACCAATCAGCGTTGGCGAGGGTTTAGGGGGAGGGGGGAGAGTCGAGCGAGCTGATGATTTGCGGCCGCAATTTTTCGTCATAAGTCGTCAAAACATCAGAATTATATAACAAAGATATTTTTGACCAGGTAATCACTTTGAATTTTCTAAGCAGCATCCGTTTAGCGCTCGAAAAGGCATCAGTTACCATGTGAAACTGAGTCTTTTGCTTAAGCTTTGCCAAAAAAGGACACCTCAAATTTTCAAAACCAAAATGCGAAAAATTCACAGTGATCGAGTTCCATTTTCCACCTATCATTTTTCAAAAACTCAACGAATTTTTCGAGACTACCGAATACCCTCAAAAAGTTTTGTCTACGAGCAAATAGTAAATGTTAAGTAAACTTTGTCGTTCACATGAGCAGGTGTTCTAACTAACATATCATCATTGACGATCTATCCACGCGTTTTCGTTGCTGCTTCTGTTGCCGGATTCGATTTCGTCGCCTATCTCACCAGGCCATCGCTGAACATATGGAACATTAATACTTTTTATTGCTCTACTTACACATTTCACTACTCGTACGGCTTGTACCCATAGTATCGTCAAATGGGCGTTAACATCTCGAAATTGGTGGGATCTTTACTTTTTTTCTATATAAGGTTTTTTGTTCGTAGTTTTGTCTCCTCATTATTTAACTCATTAATGAAGGCTTGGACCACCGTGGCCCACGCACTTTCTGCTGCCAGGGACGATGTGGATCACCGGTGGCCAACAGCTATTGCAAAGTCATATTTGTAGATCTTATAGAGAATTCCATAAACTAATATTTTTCCCAATTTTTGCACTCTTGGGACCTGCAGGCTCCGTCATTCAAAAAATGTTTATAGTTGTTTGAAATAACACCTTGTATTTAGTAACTAACCACAAAACCTTCCCACGCCAAAAGTTGTGCAAAATAGCGTCGTCTCACAGCGACACCACGCAAAATTAAGCGTCATCGTCATTGGGTTAAAAGACTATGTGAATTTATGCTAAACTAATCTTTATACAGCAAAGAGAAGTTGTTCAAGGGAATCTTACAATTGGACTACGAAGAGCAGGGATTATTCCTGGAAGTTGCCTAGGTTGTTTTCGAACTGTGAAACAATCTTGAAACTTGCGGCATTTTCATGATGTAGAAATTTTTATACCTTGTTTAACTTAAACTCGAATTCAAACTATACATAAACTTTCTTGCTTTTCTAGTGAATGCATTCAAACTGAGGGTTTGGGAAGTTAGTGAAGAAATATTTCATTTCTACGCACTTCTTATTTTTCTATTCAAAAAGTGTTACTTTCCGTGTAGATATAAAAATCAACATGCGAGTTTTTTGTACTATTTGGCCTCATTTCTTATTTTATTTTGCACCAATTTTTCTATTCAAAAATGTTTTGCAGACTTGCATCAAATTCGCTGTTTTGCCTACCTCACCCTTAGAACAAATGAAATTTTAGTAAACTCCATAAAAAATTTCCAATGCTTCAAAAATGAACATTTCTTCCGTTGCAGGCTGCTACGTCAAAGTCATTCGACGACAAATCAGATACTCGTAAGTTTTATTCATTTGAAAGTCAAGGTTTACTTTGAAATTTGGCAAAAATACTTCGCAGACACTTAAGTATGTAGGCCGATTTCATTGCTTTGGAGTAGTCTTTTATAGTAAACCAAAAAGAGCAGTTTTTCAAAAACCTAAGTGCTGCATTTTGTATCATGCCTCCAAGGATTATCTAGGTGAAAAAACAACCTCGAAACTGTTTTGTCAGAGTAAATCGCCTTCAAATCCTCTGAGAATTATTCATCACATGAAACTTGTTCGCCGTAGCCCAATCCGCCCCTTTCACTCTTTTTGACACAAAAGCCAACCACCAGTTCACATGTTGGCATTTGATTCATCGCAAAGCGCTACACCAACATGTCTATTCACAAGTATTTGGTTCCTGTTAGAGAGCAATGGACAACTGTTACAACCGAGTGGACCGGGCGGCGGCCACCGGCTTCTGTGAAGGAAAAAATTCATGTGGATTTGGGACGCGGATGTAACATCTGAAACTTTTTGCTAATGAAAATTTTTCATTTTGAAAGAACTTTTACAAAACAGACATATATATCTATATTTATCTTCTTAAGATTGATTTTTGTAGTTTTTTGAATGTTTCATTATTAATTGTTTCAATTTAGCCAGCGTCGATCTGACAGTGGAGCTCAATAGAGAGCAACGAGGACAGGTAAAAATCATTGGCACCTTTTCAGCCTTCCATATTTTCAAAAATTATTAGCAGGTGACAGCGATACGATACCCGTCAACTAGGACCATTGAGACTATACCTGCACCTGAAGCCACGACGACGGACAACAAGGTTTGTATAATAAAAATTCCAAAAATTTTGATTATATCGATTTTTCAGGCGCCTAGTTTTATTTCGCGACTTACGCATAACGTTGAACCTCCGCCAAGTAGGCAATACACTTACACTTCACAACCAGCGAGTCCGCAAGTACGTAGAAATATGCCGCCAACTACCGTATATCGAGCCGTCGATATTCCTTTCGACGAATCGCCAGCTGCTTATCAACCTAAAAAGGTGGGCGTTCGGAGAGAATGGATTTCATTCTGGAGTAATTTGTAACCCAATTCGTGAATCTGCACATTATGCGCGGCAACCGACGACACTGCTAACTCTTTAGTAAAACTTTTTCTAGCAAAATAAAGTGTGAATTGTGTACCAACTGAAACATATCCCAGATCAAGATAAACAACAAATAAGCGGAAATCACTGGAGATGAGAGATTCTAATCTTGCAAGTCGTCAAGTAGCGCGCATAGTGTGCAATAGGCATGGAGCTGCAAATAAATTGGCGACACATATTGTAAATAAATAATTTGCGCCACAATTCCTACAAATTTCCAATTCGAGCTTTGAACTTACTTAGCTTATGCATTTTTTTCAACTACGCATCGGAATTACAAGTCAAGCATATATAATCAAGCCAATGCAAACCCCAAGTTTTTTTGGGATCGAACGCATAAATAAAAAGAAAAATGGGAAGCACCAATTTGTCTACCCCTCCGATCGTTCCAGGACGAGAATCTCCATACAATCATGGTAACCATGGGCACCCAACCGATCCAAAAAGGTCTTGGATTCACAATCACCATCGAACGTGGCCGCCCAACCATTGACAGTGTTGTGGTTGGTACTCCTGCGGACCGCGCTGGGCTCCTTGTCAGTAATATTTATACTTGCACCAATCTCGTTTATAGAAATCGAAACTCTGGAATATTTCAGATTGGTGATCATGTAATCTCGGTGAATGGCGAAGACCTCAAGGATAAATATCCATCAGCCATAAATCGACTCTTGCACGATGCGGCGCGTCTGGGCGAGGCGGAAGTTGTCGTCGAGCGTAAGAGCGGTAGGGAATTTTTTACTTCACCGCAAAACTCAGCATGGGAAATGTGCTCCAGCTCAACTTCTCTGCTAAATTTCCACTTTACTCGTGTGCTCCTGAATGTTTTCAAAAACTCCTAAGTCTGTCCCATTTTCCTTCTTTTATTTCAGCAAAAGTCGCGCAAGTGAAATCGTACACGTCACCGGAGAATTTCGATCGAGCTCGTTCCGTATTCAACGAAACGAAAAGTGTGGACTCATACGCAGAGTTCAAACGAAAACATAGCCGAGGCATGAACTTCTTCTTCTACTCTTTTCTATCCATTTATGCTAATGAGAGCGAGAAGTGGTCCCCACTTAGTTGCTCGCAACTTTAGTCTATTCGGACTATCAAGTTGAAGTTAGGAAGGAGGAGACTTTGAGGGCCAGTTCTCGCCTGATTTCGCTTTCCAGTTGTTCTTCCTACTTGGCGTGGTTTTAATTCTCTTATGCATGAATATTTTGAAGTGAATACATATAATGTCCGCTCAGAGTGAGGAGTTGTGTACTGCGCTCACTCCTCTTTCCTCGTGCACTCTTGTCGCTTTCTTCCTCTGCGTCTCCTCCAGTCCTGAACTATTTTCGATAGATGACGCAACGACGTTACTCTTCGAACACAGCGCGGCTATACCGAATAAAATTTTATAAAGCTGTAAACCAGACGGTCTGCTGTAAACCTGTTTTAGCTTTTCAAAAAATGCTTTCTAATATTAGAATATGGAAAAAATTATCAGAAATTGTACATGTGTAAAGGTGTCGAAATCTATTGCTCAAGAACTTACCTTTTTTAGCATCGCGAGCGGATCAGCCATCTGCGCGGGATTACAACTCTCTTCCAAGATCCACTTCGACTGGCAACATACCAACGAAGAGAGATAATTCACTGTCAAGTAGGTTTCTAACACAATTTCATATAACTCCTGAAGTCTATATATAAAAGAAGTAAGTCGAGAAATTTTACGTGAAGGTTACTTATTCATCTTCGAGTCAAGTGGAAAATCTTAGGTATACGCTCAAAAGCAAGCTCACCAGCTCGTTCATATTATGAAAGCTCAACTCTTCGCTCAGAATACCGAAGCCAAACTAATGGTGGAACACCGGACTATAGGTAAATCAGCTTTTTTCTAGAAGTTCTTGGGAAAGCTCTTGCTTGTTGGTCTCTTTGCTTTGTCTAATCGCAGAAAATGATTTAGAGTAACCTCGATGCACGAAAAAACTGGACCAGGAAAGTTGACTGATTTCGTACCAGAAGTGGAACGAGCGAAAAAAGAAGAAGATAAGAGAGGTAATTACCAATGTTTTACGTCGCTTACGTGTAGCAACAAACTTTTCAGAATTTTCCTATCGTCGTGCATCAGACGAAGAACCGCGTTTGATCCGTAATTACGACCTGCCGCCTGCGGTAACAACTACGACTAAAATCGCTCCGACGATCAAGGTAAAACGTGTTCTATAGGCAAAGAAGTTACAGTCATATGTATTATACAAAAATCTATTGAAGAGTGCTCCATTGTCATCGCTTCGTCAAGACAACGATTCAGTGAGTGCGGTCTTGAAACGATCGACACTTCCAAGAAATGTGGGTCCAAATTAGCTTTCGGATTTTCTCAAAAGTTTTCAATCAGAATTGATTACAAACATTTTGTACCAATATGAATTAATGTTTTTATACGATGCTTAGACTTGAAGGGGTAAAGACAAATAATGCTATTCAAGCGCCGCCTCCACGAACTAGTGGCTCTTTCGCTCTGCTATTGCATATCGTGTGAGGACCAGTAGTTCACGAAACGCTGCCCAGTGGTCGTTTGCCCCCTGGATTGTGTCACACGATTTTGCTTCATCAAGTCCTTGCCCAGACAGCAGATCGTTTATCGTCGACTCTAAAAATCGTGACGACGGTCTGCAGTGCGGCCAGTGCGCGCTGCACGGCACTGCCGCTTTATCGTAGGGCAATCTTGCTTCTCTGCAGTGTAGGCTCTCTGTGGTAGCCATGAAAGTTCCTGCAAGCAAAAAAGATGCAAAAAGAAAAAGAAAAGCCACAAGAACTCACCTTCTCTACGTAATTTGGGCGAATCACTAGGTGGCACTGCCGTGCGGCGCGCACTGGCCGCACTGCAGACCGTCGTCACGATTTTTAGAGTCGACGATACCTATTTTTGCTCATTACCGTACCTTTTGTTAAGGACACTTTAGTACGGTATTGGGTGAGGGTTTAGAGTTGAATCTCTTGATCACTCAGGAATAATTTTATAAGTTGTTGCTTTGAAAGTAAGTTGCTAAAACCTTCCAATTTGTATCTACGTGAGAGGCTCGGGTACTTTTTCCTGGATCACAAAATGCCCTCCAGATTTTCAACAAGGATAAGCAAGATATAATCGCCTTGCAAGCAATGCTTAGGTAATTAACGTTACCCGCGATTGTTATCCGCTTCCGCAGCCAAGTAAAACTTACTGAACTTCACTTATGTAGTGTTTCTGCGGTGACGGGAACAGCTGCGCGAGAAGAAGTGGCATACTTGTGATTGCCGCCGTGTTGCCTGTGACTTGCGCGTAAAAAATGCTTTCGAAGCATGCCATGTGTCACGCGCAAATGTTGTCAGCAACACGAGAACACTAAATTAGACGTAGGCTCTAGCATTTGCAGCCGTTCCAATAGTAAAAATCGAGCAACGCGTGCAAACTGTAACAAAAAATTCACATCGGTATCGGCCTCTACGAGGCGATATAGTTATATGTCCGTCGTCGACGGACGATACATGTTTCCTTTTATGATTCATCGTCATTGCAAATTGCTTTGCGCGTCTAAGAAAACGCTTGCTTGATGAGTATACGCTAACATTCCTACAACGACGACGATACGCGTAGGCAACCGTGCTCCAGATTATTACTAGTATTTTACTAAAATTTTATTATGGTACTGTGCTGTCCTCCGCGGAAGAGGGTAAGGTGTAAGCTTCTTTACAGCTTACGATTAAGACAAAATCAGTAAGTAAAGCTATCTCTTACCAGATCTATGCGTAGAATTCTTCCCGGATCTAAAATAACAATTTCAATCTCATGAAATGTTGTAATGGAGTCTGCCATATAAAATTATTTTATCCCAAAAGGGCTTAGCTTATAACTAGGAAAGCGACTGAATTCTAAACACAAAAACGTTTTTTTTTGTTTTTTTTGCAGTTTTTATCCCTTTCATGACATGTGTCAAGTTATTGTTGCAACATAACCTTTCGCCAGATCACAACCGGAAATAGGCGGCGCCCCATATACGACGCAATATCACAGAAATCTAGTTTTTCCGTGCAAAAATCGACACAGTGCTATTTGTCACTTATGTTCGCCATATTTGGCTTTGATATTGTGAAGAGTAGATTGTGTTTGTGCGCAAAATTGTAACTAGGGTACTGAGCCTGCAGTAATTTTTTGTTTCTAAGTTTTTTATGGGCTTCGGGAGAAGGAATTTAATAGTTTCTTCGACAAGCACGTCTTTTTTGTATCAAAATTTTTTCTGTGTATGTTTCGAAAGAGGGCAGTGGTCTCATAGTTTGCTGAATAAAAAATGTGCCAGGACATTCTCAGGTTTCATCTACGGCCAAGAGAAGTGGCAAATAAACCCAATGGTGAACTCTCCATGTCTTTTTGGACAAGGTTCCAGTTCCTCAATTTCTTTTCACGCATACTAACTGAACGTTTTGGATATTGAGATTGGAAAAAGAGAACCAAACAGGCACGAGTCGGAAGTGCGGCATTAGATCTTGTTTAGAACAAATAATTTTTTCGTAGATATATATCTCCTCAGCCTGCATTTCCAAATATATAGGAGTAAGTATCCGATTCTCAAGTGTTCCGCGTATGGCATACATCCGAATTTCGGACTCGTTGCTATGTAAATATAAAGCGTCCATGAAATATCGCACACCTTTTGGAATGTCGCATCGATCCTTACTTGTTTTTCTATTACTGATCTTTTTGGTTCATCGAAGCGCAGATCGATGAGTATTTTTTGTGTGCAAAAGTCCGAGCGTAGGCTTTGCATCAAATTATGTACGCATGAGCATGCGAATAAATGTGCTTGCAGCCTTTGCCATGGTGGTCTGGTCATTGATCTATTTTCCAGTTTTTTTAGTATGAGACGAATTCATCGATTTTTTTCTGCGAACAATGATTATGTTTTTTATTTTGTCCCCCATACCACTAGCACCGATGTGAAGAATCTTGTATCGCACATTTTTCGTCCATTATAAAAGGCTGTCCCGAAACCTCTGTCGGTTTTCTTCAAACGACTATGAAACCTGGTACAATAAAGATCTAAATGAACTTCAACATGCATTCGATGGAGCTTTTCCTTCTCTTTCTTGCGGTTACAAGCGGCACGAGGTGGCTAGATGAAAATGGAAAAAACGAAGTCCCCCTTGACTTTTGGGAATTTTTACGAAGTCCCCTTTGACCCTCAACCAAATTTCCTCTGAAAACCTGAAAAATTCCCCAAAATCCCCCAAAAAACGAAACGTCGACTAAAAAAAAAAGGTCGCCGTCGGCAATTTTCCGTGTCTCTTCGGTCACAAAAACGAAACCCCCTTTGCTTTTCGTCCCAAAAAACGATACCAGCTGGCTTACAAGCCACCTGTGCCGAGCCGTGTTACAAGTTTGAGGCATAATCTTTTGTAAGCATTTTGATAATTGCAAAAAATCCTTCGCTTGTCATTTCTATCTATTCAAAGTGCGGCTAATTTTTGAAAACTGTATTTCAAAGCTTTGAAGAGGATTAAGTAAGTCGCAAATAGAGCAAATCCCGGACTTTGCGGCGGTTTTTTTTAGATTCTCGTGATCTGCTGTGTTTAGCTGTGGAAAATTATTTTTCGAAGATTTCGATTTTTGGTAAAGTCATGAAATACTCAACTACAGCAAAAACATGAAAGCTTACAAAGTTTTTACGTAATTATACTGCCAAACATTGTTTGCGCAATAAAATCAAGTTTGATTTGCTTCAAACAGCTTTCAGAAATTTTTTATCGTATGTGCTAAATGTTATCAAAAAGCCGCGGTTTCCCCAAATAGAATTATTGTAAACGTAACCTATGTAATCTGAGATTATTGGTAGCCAAAGTTTGCTCTACATAACAGCTATCAGCGTTCTTCGAAAATATTAGGATAATTTCCAAACTTCTGGGAAAATTTGTTGTACCAGTGAACTGCTTAAAGAGTCATGGCGATGCTATCGCAAAGACAGCATAGATAAAGGAGAAATGTACCATTTGATTCAACTTGGCGGCTAGAAGGAGGACTTCGTGACCTAATTAAGGCTAGGTAATGATCAGAGAGCAGGCGCGCAGGAGTGACGCAGATTGCGTCGCGGACGAGAGCGGCCTAAATTAGTCCACAAAGCACCGCCTTCCAGCCGCCAAGCCAGTTGAATCAAAGGTTAGCTACAAGAAAGAGGATAAAAATACAAATCAATCGATACCTAAGTCACCCATCACGATGTTCTGTGGATTTAGTGACCGGTGGAAAAAAACGGACAACCTAATGTATTTTTCAAACTCAAACCAGAGACCGTTAAACTGACTAGAAACGATTTTTAAGCCTCCGCAATGCCAGATAGATCTTTAAGGAAGCATGAGAAAAAAGGGGAGGGTATGGAGGCGGGGAGGGGGAGGGGGGGGGGAGAAAATAGGAAGAGGGAGACGTATCGAATTCAGGAAACCAAAACGCTGCTCTTTTTTCTCACATATGCCTGGTTTTGCTTAGCCTTGGCACCAGAAGAGTTTGAGTTATAGATGAAAACGATTGGGAAAAAATCTCGTTTGTGAAATCTGAATGACTTGCATTGCTTATCTGTATGATAATCGCAACGAATCAATTTCTATATGTGGGAAAATACTTTTGTTGTTTTGCATACCGTAAATGCCAGATTGAACAATTTCAAATGGACAAATATTTTTTTTTTTCACAACACAAGATGATTTTCATTTTCAATTGATTATCACTGCACGGTTTTAGAGTCACGCCCAACCGGAAGAACATGCTTCAGATGACGATACAGTAGCTGGAAAATCCTTTCTTGTGAGTGTTTCTCCATTATTTTAGAGTGTAGTTTGCTCTCTTATGTTTGAACTTCGACGACACCGCGGCTCCTCTGAATCGACTGTCCACTTGTGCCGTGTGCTAGATAGTGCATGCATTTCCGCCACATCGCGACTATGTCGTGACATAAATGCTAGTGTCAACTAGCGCACTAGATCTGTGTGTTCTATGTCCATGTGTGTGTGTAGTGTGTGCATGTCGTCTGTTGTGACGTTCTGTCCTGAAATCAGCGAAATTTTCCGGCCTTATCGCCACGCGTCGTCGTCGCTTCTGATTTTGTTCGGCCGAGCACAGCACGCCTTGTTTAGTTGCACAACAGTCGCGTTATCGCGGCTGTACTCTTTCAATAATTTTGGAATTAGAAACTGCAATTTATCTGGTGATCCTAATTGGACTCCATCTTCGTGTGAGAATGCTTTTTATGCATTCTTATTTTTTTCGTCACTCATTGTCGTATTGATCTGATTTCCTGACGATGTATTTGACGTAAAACTTCTTTTATGCTCAAATTCGCTAGTCAAGACTAGTCTATTACCTTTTTCTAAAATAGAAAAACTTCTCCTTTCTCCCTTGAAAATAGGCTATGTAGATAATTTAGAAGAGGTCAGTCTTTGCCAGACCTGTGTAAAGTGTTTTTATAGTTTTTGTTTTATAGTTCCTGGTAATTTCAAGCAACTTTTGCCTGTCTCTTATGGAAATCTATGAGAGCATTATTACAAAAGCATTACTCTTCTTCTTTTAGGCCATGGTTTTGTATTTGATGCATGAACAGAACTTACTTTTTTTGACTGTTGAGACCTTAGAGTTGCTCACGGTTATCAATGGATTTTTATACGGTGCCATAAGAATGCCTTCGTAGTTTACTTTTCCTCCCCTTCGGCGCGTAAAACCAAATTTTTTTTCACAGCCTACTCCGCATATTGCCTGTATTCTAATGTCGCAGCCTATGACCGTCCCCTGCAAATCGCTAAGGGTAGCCTTAAGTTATTTCTTTGCTAGCGCACAAGACGCTCCATCTCATCTGGGCCTCCCTCGACGGGTACATTTTCAACTTGATCAGGCTACAAATGCTAGGAATGAAAAGGATAAATCGCGTGTAAGTGCTTCTCAAAAAATTCATCAAGTTCACTTTCATCATTGAGTGCATGCCGTTTGATGTTGTTGCAACTCTTAGTAATGGGTGGTATTGCTAGCTCAGAGAACTAAGCGGAACTTTCGCGGAACGTTTGGAAAAGCTCCGCTGGGTCACCTGCGGAAGTTCTGTAAACGTGCCGATAAAGTGAATAAAATGAATGAACAAGTCTGCGCTACTATAAGGTGACTAATCACTCAGATATTCTGCTATTCATGCACAGGGTAGTTTAAAGATGTCTAATCCTAACTTTGAAAGAAAGTCAAATTAAAGTTCATTAGCCTCATTTTTGCATTTCTTTCACTGGAGAGGCTAGAGTTATATTTTTTGCTATCTTACTAGCTTAGCTGTTGGCTAAAGTAATCTGTTAGCTTTGAACCATGATAAAATTATTTGCATATTCTTGACCTTAACTACGTTTTAGTAAATCCTGTGGCCCGAAGGGCAGAGTTCGCTCATTTCAGTCCTCAATTTTATTGATTGTGCTTGTCAGGGTACGAAAAAGTTTATAATTTGTAATCTCCAGATACTTCCTCGTTCTTGATGATGCATTGCTTTCGTAAAGGCTTTGCTTTGCAAAAATGGTATCAGTCGTTCTTTCTTATACACGGCTCGTCCGGGCTTCCTCGCCTGTCCACTTTCATAATTAGAGAATTGATCACCACAAAAAAGTAGAGTTGCAATTTGCATAGCTTGAATTACTATTTCTGCAAGTGTTCCAGCTTTTCGGCTCAAATCGTGACACTCATCTTTTTTATAGTCGTAGAAAAAATGGTTTAAATGTCAAATCATTGCTGATTGATAACACTAGTACGAAATGGAGTGTGCGATTGATTGTGCATATAATCCCTATGCACGCTGGAATTAGAATAATGTAGACAACTGTAACCGTGAACGGCTCGAAATTCCAACGAACTCGCTCTCGAGCATTCACTTTGAAATGTTGCTGAGTCAAAGCGTTTTGTGTACATTTGCAATGGAAACAGTCACTCTTCATATCTTCTTCCACTTTCGGGCTTAGAACGATATTTTTCGTCAAGTCATTCATTGCCAGAGACTCGTAATTTTTCAATTTATTTCTTAGGAAGCTTGACCTTTTGGCGATCTTCGACCTTTTATGCTTACTAATTTGTAGACTAATAGCATTTTATCATTTATGCATCTCCTATTTCAAATCTTCTTATACAAAGAATCGTTACCTATTTAAAAAAGGTGAAAATGCGGAAAACCGCGCGGCTCCCGCAGCGAATGCACTTGCGAATCTAGCACATTTAGACTACTGATTCTAGTCTCAAATTGATTCATATACGAACTAAGTATAGATGAACAAATAAATAAATAAACCTTAGTAATCATAAGAATTGTTGCAAAATGCTCAAAAGTTCCGACATCTTCACAATTCACTTCAGCTTTTTCTATGGACCTTTTATTTGCTATCCATATCTTACGCGCTATCGATAATTTCCTTTCTTCAAATGCTTAGTTTTTTCTTTATTGATGGGCCATTTTGATTTTTTTGTAACAATAATCGCATAATGCATGTATTATTGGGCACTTGGATGAATGGCAACGAATAGTAGTACTGATAAGCAACGTTTGCATGTTTTTTCCGAGAATGTTTGTTTTATGACATAGACTTTCAACTTCTCAGATGAGCGAACCTTTTTGGATTTGCTGAAGTAATTGTTTTGCATTATAACTAGTCCAGAATCCTAGTTTTCAGCTGTAGTAAATACTTTAAAAGCTGTGATGGCTGTAAATACGGACATAGTAGATTTCCATATAGGCATTTTCAAGAAAATTTGATTGAAAATATTTCCTGCTGTGCGTGAAGCTTAGTGCCTTTTCCTGGGTAATAATGACTTCAAAACCGTTTATAAACAAACAGCAGAAAGAGGGTGAACTCATGCAAGAAATGCAGCAGAATTAGAGATTTTTGTTCCAAGAGTCTTTTTTTTCCAATTTTTTGTCTGTCACTCTCTCGTTTGCGCTATTCAATGAATAGATGTCGTTTAGTGGTTCAAATGTGCTGCTGTGATTCTGCTAAACAACAATTTGAAGCTTTAATATCTGTGTAGGGGAGCTTTTTAATAATAAAAATTTTCACAATATATCTTCAAAAGTAAAAGCTGGTCTCTGAAGAAGTAGGTCAGTTTGTTGTGCAAAGTGGATGCGAACAACGTGTTCGAGCGTCTTTCATCACTAGAGTTCATAAGACCGCGCATGCGTCGCATACCTGGGCAACCGCATTAGTCTGGGACTAGCGTTTATGCGGTCTCAGCAATAACCCTCAACAATTGGAATTTGTTGAACTATGCGCATTTCAAGAGAGGACAAAAGTGCACCGTAATCTTCATTTTTCGTTAGTAGATAGAGTCGATTGCACGAAATCGCCCGGGTCGCTGTAGGCTGAACGTGCGCGAGCGCCTGCAACGCGGCTGCCTAGTACGAGCGCTATGATGATTTATGCGCGCGAATGACAACGTTAGACTGCAAGAGACACTCTCGCTGGCGTTCATTCCGGGCGATTCCTGCAGTCAACTACAGATAACATTTCATCTTAAAATCTCAGAATGCTGCTTCAGTTGCCGTGTCTTCTCAGCCATTCTATCCGACGCATGTGTCCGTTCTCTCACACACAGCTCATACTAACCCTGATACTGTGCTGTTTTAGCGTAAAACGCTCCGTTCTCTGACGCCTCCAGCGCCAGTCGGAATCCTTGAACGATCGCCGGAACTCGAGGACTCGTACGAACAACAGCAAACGTCGCATCGTGACTGGCGCTGCGTCTATCCGTCCCAACGCTCGCGAAGCTCGTACGAGTTGCGCCAAAGCGACGCGGAAACATCGAGGAAGAGCGACTCGTACTCGTACGACTACGATCGCGATCGTGTCGCTCATGAACGTGAAGAGTACGACGTGGACGAGATGTATCGCAAGAAGAGTTCGCACACAGCGGGCAAATATCGCGATCGCGTTGGCGTCGAGCCGCCAAAATCGACGGTAGTGCCCATTCAGCGCCTGGATCGCGGCGATTTTCGCTACGTAGACACGCCTCGTCCATACCAGCCGTCGCGATCGCGATCCAGCGACTACATTCTCGATAGGGACTACCGCGATGAGGCTGAAATTTCCGATGCATCGCATAGATTTTACGATCGCGACGGAAATTATGTGTACAAAGACCGAAGACCGGATTATGATGTAGATATTCGTAGAGACTATGATCTTACAAGAGACGCAGAACGTCGAAGTTTTCGCGGACCGACGACGCGAACGTACCGCAGCCTGGAGAGACGCGTCGAGGAGCGGCGCATTGAGGAGCGAATGTACGAGGAAAAGGAGAAACGCATGTGGATACCAGAGAGAAGGGTGGTGGTGGGTAGTAGAGTCTCTGTCTCTGTCTCCTCTGTCTGTCGCTCTAGAGTCGATTCGCTTTCTTTTTCTCGTGATTTGAAAATTCTTTGAGAAAATTCCTTGTTAGATTATGCTTAACAAACGCGCCAATAATCTGCTAATAACATGGCAGTCAAAATTTGTATGAAAATGATCTTCCGGCAGTATTAACTTGCGCTAAAAATTTAACTGTTTGGCTTCTCTGCGCTTCTCTTTAATGCGTTATCCCTCACATGTACTCTTTTCTCCAACCAAAAATCTACATAATAAAATACTTGTGCCGTTAAAATTTGTTTTCATGTGCGAGATGTCAGGAATGCCAATTCATACAAACTAACCGTTTATATCGTGTATGTCTAAAAATTAAAAAAAAATGCAAAAAACAAGTCATTTCGGAAAACTGGATATTCTTGAAAGTCAAGAGAAGATGAGTTTTCAGGAATCTCGTGACTGGCGTGAGGTTATCAACCAGCAGCGGCAGCCGGCACCTGGTCGCGCTGCTGACACGCAACGCATTCGCGACGCGAGCGCATCATTGGGGTGCGGCATTAGGGCATTTTTGCCAACTTTTCTTTTTTTTTTCAAACTGCAGTAAAATTATTGTTTTTAAGTAACCTGCCAGCGATAATCAATCGGAAGTTGGAAGAAAATCGTAAATCAGAAAAAGAAAGACAAACCACAACTGATTATAGCTATCGTTCCCCAAACGTTGACAGCTATGAACGCGACTATGAACGAAGTTTCGAAAAGGTAATTTGAAAACTGAAAGTTATTATAGTCATTGGGAGTTTTAGCTTTATGCAATCTTATTGCAGAGCTATCAACCCGATTACCAAAATCGGAACTACGATTCGCTACGATACGGGCAGAACGACACACGCGGCCTTGACTCAAGCTATACGACCGAGTATAGACGTCGAGAACAACGCGATGCGAGCCCAGCGTATGGGCGACGAGACATGAGCTCAGGATATCGCGAAGAGATCCGACGAGAACCGGTGAACAACGATCAAGTTGTGGCAGTCAGCGGAAAGCATCGTTGCGCTCACTGCGGCGAGGAATTAGGTGAGGACAACTGTCACAAATCTGAGCGAATATACTAACTTTGCATGTATATGGCAGTCCTTTTGGTTTTTTTTCTACTTTTTGCTCGCATTTTTGATTAACAGTGCGAATTATAAATTCGTGGGCAAAAATTAATTTTTTTGATTTCCTTCACGAGCAAAGATTTTATTATATCAAAGAGTATCAAAAGTTTTTGTGAAGAAAACTGCGAGTAAAGAAATACCCGAACCGCCATCTCGCGTGTGCGGACAATGGGTACGAATTGTTGTGTCGAAAAAGCATATTTCGTCGCAGATGTCCGCAAGGGCGGAGCTCATAGGCAACATATATCTTTCACGAAGATGCTATTTTTGTACACGATGGTTCACATCTATTTTTCAACTTTTTCTCATTATGACGGAATATTGTGCGCGAGTTATTTGTAACTTATGTGAAACTGCACACTACGCACAGCAACCGACGACACCTTACTAATAATCCGTCAGCAAAGCATTTTCAGCGGAACAAATTGTGAACTATGTACTGCAACCTGATATATATCCAGTCAAACTAACCGAGAAAAAATAAGGAGAAACCCCTGGAAGTGGATAGGTTCCGAACTCAGAAGTCGTGAATTAGCGTGCGTAGTGTGCAGAACGTACTTCAAGTTGCAAATGACTTGGCGATATATTGATACGATAATCGAAGCATGGGGGAATGGTGGTGGTAAACTTTTTCCAAGCAACAATAATCCAGGACTAAGTGGACCTTTTAGCCTCGTCACACAGATTATGTCGATGCCGTTATCGTGCATTTGCATTTGTATAAATTTATAGTCATTGATTATCTATCAATCAATACAAACCTTTCTTTTATCATAATACAGTGCTTATATACCCATATATATCCGCTTATCAAGTGCAGTCAAGTAAGTTCTAAGAAATTCCTTTTGCTCTTAGTATGTTTTTCCGATTCGAACAAATTTGAGAATAAGGTATTTAGGTCGTGGTGCAGCCATGATCATTGAATCGCTCAATTTATTCTATCATCTTGCCTGCTTCAAGTGCTACGTATGCAAAACTCCGCTGGGTAAGTTTTATTTTTGCAGAAAAAAAACATCCAAAATCAATGAAGGTGTTTCAAGCAGTAATGGACTTGTTGAAGAACATTAATCATATGATTATATCACATGCATTTTGTTTATGTCTGTAAAGGATAAAAGCAGAACGAAACAATGTCAGCTTGCACGGAAAAAAACATTGCGATAGGGCTATGCCTCTGAGCCATTGAGAGAAAACGTGCGTAGAAGATGCGCAGACAGCTAAAGACAAAGCGCGCGCCGCGTCACCCATAATGGTGCATTACCTGCGTTGCAGATGTTACAGACATATTTTCCTGCATCTCTAATTCAGCGAATTTTGATGTAGGTCTGTTTATGTTCTATAAGCTTTTTTTGTGCATTCACCTGCGATGTGCAACTGTAGACATCTTTTTGAAATAACTAGTGAACCAGTAATCGTAAAGCTAGATTTGCAGGCGTTTCCGCTGCGAAAGCCGCGCGGTTTCCCGCAATTTTACTTTTTAATAGGCACAACGATTCTTTACGTATGTAGATAGATTATTCAAATACTAATGACGCTAATTAAGGTTCTGGTGCTACTGGAGCTGATGTCCGCGTACGTGAAGGTCGACTACATTGTCAAAGCTGTTACAGTAATGATCGCCTACAGTTGAGTAAGGTGTAGAGGAGACTCGTACAACGACAAACATCCATGGCCAAGCTCATCATGCAATTCTCATAAGCTTTTCGTGCGAACTACTTGATTTTATGGAAGACGTGATTTATGTTGCCCATATGAGCCGTTTCTTTCAAACATTTACAGAAAAGTGCTGCCTTAATTTTAGGAATGTGCAACGCGTAGTCCTGACACCCTGAGTCGTTCTACTGCAGCACATTATGTGCCGTAGTTTTTTGTCCTTCTCGAATGATTTGCTCTAATCGAACCAAAATTCTATAGTCATCTCTACAGATATTCACTTGCCCCCTGACATTTGCAATTATTCGAATAATCATACGTGAATTATTGATGATTGCATTGATGGCTACTTTTATCGATTGAATCGTTCGCTACGCCCCGCGCGACGCGCTGATCGTCGAGTACTGTATGTGTTTTCTGCGTATGTGTATGTTTGTATGTTGAAGGCTGTGATAGCGCAATCGCAATGAATTTATCTAGTATCTTTGAGCAATAAAGTTTATTGTACAGAAGAATTATTTTTATTCTGTCACAGCAGAAGAAAATATGTGTGTAAAAATTACCCAACATAAACGATATTGGTAGATTTTCCTATAGTGGCCGTTCGACTTCGATATATTGGAGCCAGCATGGAACCTGTAGATACAAGAGTGAGATGGTTTGGAGTAGTTCGCTGTACGAGTGGCGCTAACGGCGCGGATTCCGCACGGTTTCGGCAAGTCACCTCTTTTTGGGTCTGCAAAAGTGCGAGAATTAGGAGAGTAAATGCTTTTTTTTCACTATGAAGACAATATTTTACCTTATTTTTGGCACATGCTGAGCTTGATTTTCTTGAGCAGCGCCTTCGCTCAATAATTATCTCTGTATCAGCTCGAGGTCGAAGCACCACAATGCTCGTTGTTCTCATTCTTAGCCTAAAATGTGTTGATGATGCTTCAATAACGATCAATAATCGATTGTTTCCTTTTGTTTCGAACATTTTTTCGCCAAGTACTGTTCTGGGTAGAATCTACCCATTCTGACAAGTTAGATATCAGTCTTAAACTTGACCAAGAAAATTTTTTTTTCAAATTCACCTCAAATCTTCCTTGCTATATCTTCCACTGCCTTGTGAACTTAATGATGGCTTACGGTGCTCAACAGTCAACTTTCTTTTGATTTTCTCATACCACTCCGTTAAGACCTTCATGGGGGATGGAAGCAGCTGAAATGTATATAGTTCTGAGTTGAGTTTTGCCTAAAAACTGCGTACGCTTGTCATTACTCTCCAGTGGCTTAGTATGACTGCACTTGTAACGTTTTCAAACTAAAGTTTAAACTCACTGTCAAACTATGATGCTTGCAGAGTTTTCAGCAACAACAGTAAAGGAAATAGAAAGATTAATGAGTCGCACAGTATTGTATCATTTAGCTTATTTACCAAATTCTAGTTAGTTAGAGGAATAAATCGACAAAAAAACAAGAGCAAGTTCAAGCTTATTTGAGTCATGAGAAAATAAGATACTCAAAGAGATCACTTTGCTTGCTATAGTCTATAGCTTATTTACCAACAAAGTATTGGGCCTTCTTCCTGACAAATAGGAGGTCAAAGGAATAAAAACGGAATAAGGGAAGAGCAAAGGTCTCAGGGATGCGGGGAGAGGGGGGGGGGAGGTTGGAGAGTAGTGTTAACTATTCTCATAGATGAAGAATGTACAGATTTTTCTCCCCAAAACACCATGGTTTGAATGGTCAAGTATGAGAGTGATTTCGTAGCGATAAGATTGCTCAAATTATTACTATAGTATGGGCATTGGAGCAACTTGTGTTCTTTACGGAACATGAACGGTACTGATAAGCTAGAAGTTTTATTTACAACTATATATGTATCAGTAAGAAGTTGGGCGAAAAAGTTGTAATGCGCTTAGTTCTGTTTTTTTTACACTTCTTTGACTATGCGGAAAACTAAGAATCTGATACTTTCCAAATTCTAACACCTCTACGATTTAGAGATAAATTGCGATTATTGGTGACAATGAGTAAGATTAAAATAGCTGATCTTTGTTGAAATTTGTTTTGCATATCTATTACGCTGAGGAAAGAATGAAATAAATTTATATTTGATATTCTTTGAATAAGTGATCGAAATACTTGAAGCTAACGAATTTAATAGGAATAGTTTTGCGAACAAACAGGAACAAGCCTGAATTCATCACTGTGTTGTAGACTTTATCACTCTTTATGTTGGAAGATTTTTGCTTAGTCGAGTCAGCTAATAATGCTGTAAATGATAATAACGCAAATGATTACATTACTGCAGTCGCACAATGGCAATTTACTCATTCTGAATCTAAAAAGTTGCTAACCCAATTACAATAGATACCTGTCGAATTTCTCCTAGCTCATTGCAAAAGTGCAAATAAAAAATATTTGTGTTTACTAAAAATATTTCGAAGCTGAGAGATCAGGCGTTGGATCACTAGTAGGACAAAACGGTAAAGTTTGCGTTATCACATTTTGTTACTATCAAGGAAACCCATATCCAAGTACGCGACCCACGACCAGAGATGATAACACCGAACAAAAAGCAACGTCTCACTGTTCTCGGCAGAAAAATCGGAGATGCAAAGTGTCGAGCATGTTTGCAGAAAATCCGATACTAAATAAAAATGAATAAAAAGTGTACAGATATGTCTGAAGCTATAATACAGCTTTAGTACGTAAATTCGGAAAAACTCGCACAGGGGGTGGCTCGACGGCAACAAGTCTGAAGCGATTTTCGCATTTACTTGCTTTGAAACCTAATCTCCGACTTATCAAGTAACTTCAAAAAAAAACGCCGTCATGTTCATTCTATAGCACAGCGGGTACATAGCTAGTGAACCGATCAGCGCATCAAAAATCAAGCATTTCCCAATTTTGAGTGCTGCTACGGTGCTGCACATGGTGCACCACTCGGCTTTGGAGGGTCTTCCTGGATCACAGAGAAAGTTTTATCTTAGCTGAAGGACACGAAATGAAGGCTGGATTCGCACTTTCGAAATAATTTTAAAGAGCTCTGCCGCCGTTTTATTCGCGGAGATACAATCACAAATCGAATAACAGTTGCAACAAAGTGCGGCAGTGCTAAGACCCGTGAGACGTCGCGACTTTCATTTGCTTCAATTTCTAAAAGAAAAACAGTGTTTGTAATAGTAATGTGTACCGAGTGCGATATAGGTGAACTTGGTTGCCAGAGATTGAGAGGTTTTTTCTATTTTCCAAGACACAGCAGTCTACTTAGGCTTCGGACAGAGTTCACGCGATTTCATCGCCGCGATTGTCAATCATTTTCATTTTACATTCAAAAATTTCGCGCTGGAAAAGTATCACAACCGAAATGCAACCTGATCGGCATGCGAACTTGTAACAGTTGTCTTGTCGCTTAAATCGCGGCGGTGAAATCGCGTGAAATCTGTCCGAGGCCTTAGGTGAAAAAATTTGAAGACTTTTGAATCATTCGCTTGGACATGGAGATTGAAGTGCTAATACTCAGACAAGTGCTCAATCCACGTTATGAGGTCTCTTTGCGCATGAATCCGTTTGCTCAAACTTGCTCAGACTTTGTCCATGTATCAGCGCTCAAAAGTACTGACATTTTGCCGAGCGCGAACTCCGGCCCGAAAAGTGCAAAGAAGTTTTTTGCCTTTCTGCTTAAACAAATTCCTGCGGGAGAACGACACCACACTTACCCCACTATTTATTCGGCCCTTTTCGGTTTTTTGCAGGTATTATCATAGTGCGGGGGTGTAGCACTGCATTACTTTGTAATACGCTGTTTTCGCACTTCCTGAATGGTGAGCAACGATAATAATCAAGCCATTCATTCAGACAACTAGAATGAATGAATGACGTTGATCAACATTGTTGTCCCTTTGGCGCACTTCTGAAAGTATTGATTGGTGAAGGCCCAAACGTGAAGGCAAAACGAAAGTAAGTCCATACTTGGTGCTGCCCCTTCTCTGCGTCTCTGACCTGCGGCACGCATGGCTGACATGTTGGCAACATGCAACACATGCTGGCAACAACGAGCTCACACTATTGTCTTGAGGCAACACGTTGTTGCATGTTGCTAACATGTTAGTCATGTTTGCCGAGGTCAGAAACGTAGAGCAGGGGCAATAGCAGTCGTGGAGTGGATGATAGAAGGGTTTATTTTGGAGACCATGACTAAAAATTCCTTTGATAAGGTCTCATTATGATCGGCTGCGGTAAATTTGTTGGATGCGATTGATCCATCTACAGCGGAGAATTTGATTCACATCAACAAAGGACAGTTGCGTCGATGTTACTTTTATTGAAAGTTCATTAGCCACCACACATGGGGATGTTGTCCTTTTGAGTACGTGCATTTTGCTGCGCCAGACGTATTGATTGATCAAACACAGAAGAGCACGTTCTCATCTCAGGTTAAGCCCATTTTCAGTTTGTTGTTTGTTGTTCATGGTGTGCTAGTGACAAACCTGTCAGTTTCTTTGATAAACAATGGACTCCGCCTCCTCATTCATCATGTCATATTGCTATGCACTTTACTTTTCCATAGCCAGTAGTGGAGGTGGACTTTTTTTGTAAACATTTACGTAGACGCGTCTGCCCGGAACTTGCGTCTGATCTATTCAAAAAGTCATGTCTGGTAGAGTCAATGGCCGGCTGAGGGCGAAATCCATGGACAATAGATACCTCTCAGCTATTGTCGACCGTGCCCCAGCGCTGCACAGCTGGCCGATGTGCCAGAATTCGAGACACGTAAGGTAAGAAAACTTCTCTGGCTGCTGCATTACCATGAGAATCACCATTTGCGATCAGGGTCAGGCGTGAGGAGGTTGCACGCCAGGAGATACGTTGCGCTCGGCCGCTGCTTCGACGCGCACGCCGCCCTAGAATTTTGTTCCACAAACACTCCCCGGTCCAGAATGGCAGGGCGGAAAGAAGGGGGGGGGGTAGGGGTGAGGGTAGGTACATGACGATGCCATAAGTATCGTTGCAAAAGGAGTGCTGGGTCATGTATAAGTTCTCAGACACTGGGATCGGGCGAGCCGCGGCCTCAAAAGGCCTTTCCGGCCCGTCCGCGGCCTTAATTTGTGGGCGTGGCCGAAGTGCGGCCGAGCCGCGGACCTTAATTTATGTCAGTATCATTGCACCGGCTCAGCCGCGGCCTTAATGATGGGCTCAGACACTGTGAATATTGATTGCACCGGCCGAGCCGCGGACGCTGCGAAATTCCAGCCGGAAAAGGTCTGCGGCTCGGCCGCTCCCAGTGTCTGAGTTGTTACATAAGTCTTGTTACACTTCAATTTCTTACGACGATAAGTCGTACAATTCATGTTCTTAATAGGGCTTCAGGACCATTCGATAGAGCAAAGCAAGCTTTACAAAATGGTTTGCAAAAGTTCGCACCAGCTTCATCCACCGTAAGTTTGCATCCGGAATGTGAGTCGCACTGAAGGCTCAAAAAATTAGGAGAACTCATATCTTCATTCAAAAAAATCCTCCGCATTTCCAACTTGTTCGCAGACTGCACACGGCTCCATCTAAACCTACTTAACCGGCTGCGCGGGCGGTCGCGCGCGTTTCTCACTGCGTGGTAGGACCCAGCACGCTGAGCTTGGGCCACGCTCGCTCGCTCAAACTTGGAAAATCGCAAAGTTGGAGATGCTATTTTACATCTTGTCAGAGCTTGAAAGTCAAAGAACATTCAAGTGCATATCCTCATATCGTCCATTCAAAGTATTACATCGTTCTCATACTGGAGCTACTTCACAGCAAACATTCCTGTGGAAGGGCAGGACACTATATGAGAGCCTCTGTGCGCGCGTGAGTGTACATTTTCAACAGTGTGAAACTGTTCCTGTATTGCTTAAAATCATGTTTTTTCGAAAAAGGATTGACTCCAAAAACGTATTATTGCTTCCTTCTTTCTTTGGTACTTTTTGCACTATTTTAGATGCTGATTTCAGATGCTTATTACTAGTTTTCCTCCTTAAAACAAAATGTTCTCCTCATTCAGTCTTTATTCCAACACCAGCGTCTTCGAAGTTTTAGAGATTATAGTTAGACAAATGCCAGATAGGGCAATGCTGTCCCATATTCAGGCCTGGACTTTCAATTCCTTTTTCCATCAAGATTCCAACGAGAAGACAATGTTCGTGATCAAGGGATCAAGAACGCCGAACATTGTCTGACAAAG